AGAAATGGGTAGATGTGCCATATGTGCTGCTCGTTATCTCTCTGTGAGACATGCCAGACTTGCGTCTTAAGGGTGCAGATTTGGGTGTGAAACCTTCAGCTTCCTTCTGTCCTCTTACTTTGCTCCTGTATCCGGGGCTCCCAACTGAACAGACTGAGTCAGGACACCCTTCCAGGAGGGGTTGCCTCAGTCTTGGTAGAAATTCAAATAGTCCCAATTGCAGTTGAGACTATTTAGAGGACCCAAAAAGTACATGAAGCCTTTATGGGACTAACTTTCCTTTATGACCTTACTTGGAGAGATGTAATGTGCGTCTTGGGACAGACGCTGACTCCTGACTTGAAAACTCGAGTTTTGAGGGTAGCTAACACTTTTGGAGTTGAATGGCTTGAATGTGAGTCAAGGGGAAAGAGGGAACACGAAATAGCCCTCCTCCCTACTGGGAGCCAAACAGTTCCTACAACAGAAACACTTTGCCAGATATATTTTTGAAGGACTCAAGCGAGCATGTGTTAAGACTTTAGACTATACTAAGTTGGCTGACATTGGAGGAGGAAATGGCAACCTACTCCAGTATTCTCGCTTGGAAAATCCCATGGACAGAGGAGCCTGGTGGGCTAACAGTCCATAGGATCGCAGAGTTGGACACAACTGAGTGACTGACACAAATGTGGGTAGTCATTTTATTAATTTATTCATCAGTTAATAGAATTTGCTTTGTTTCCACTCTTTGGTTATTGTGACTAATGCTGCTATGAACATCTTTGTACATTTTTTGTGGATACGTGTTTTCAATTCTCTTAGTATATACCTAGAAGTAGAATTGTTAGGTCATATGGTAACTCTGCTTAGCATTTTAAGGAACTGTTTTTCAAAGTGGCTGCATCATTTTACATAGCAGCAATATATGAAGGCTCCAGTTTCTCCACATCTTTCTTAAATATTGGTTTTCTTAGAGTGTGTAAAGTCGTATCTGATTTTTATTTTTTATTTGCATTTCTAGTATGGTAAACATGAACATCTTTACATGTTTGGCCACTTGTAGTTTCAGTGCATGGACATGCTCTGCAGCATGTGGGATCTTCCTGGACCAGGGATCAAATCTGTATCCCCTGCATTGGCAGGAGGATTCTAAGCCATTGGGCCACCTGGGAAGTCACAACAAAGATTTACTTTTATGTATATTCCTAAGAGTTTATAGTTTTCAGTTCAGTTCAGTCACTCAGTCATGTCCAACTCTTTGCGACCCAATGGACTGCAGCATGCCAGGCTTCTTTTCCATCACCAACTCCCAGAGGTTGTTCAAACTTATGTCCATCGAGTTGGTGATGCCACCCAACCATCTCATCCTCTGTTGTCCTCTTCTCCTCCTGCCCTTAATCTTTTCCAGTATCAGGGTCTTTTACAATGAGTCAGTTATTCGCATCAGGTGCCAAAGTATTGGAGTTTCAGCTTCAGCATCAGTCCTTCCAATGAATATTCAGGACTGATTTCCTTTAGGATGGACTGGTTGGATCTCCTTGTAGTCCAAGGGACCCTCAAGAGTCTTCTTCAACACCACAGTTCAAAAGCATCAATTCTTTGGTGCTCAGCTTTTTTTATAGTTCAACTCTCACATCCATACATGACTACTGGAAAAACAACAGCTTTGACTAGATGGACCTTTCTCTAGTGGCTCAGCTGGTAAAGAATCCACCTGCAATGTGGGAGACCTAGGCTCCATCCCTGGGTTGGGAAGATCTCTTGGAGAAGGGAGTGGCTACCCATTCCAGTATCCTGGCCTGGAGAATTGTTAATCCATTTATAGTTTTAGCTCTTACATGTAAGTCTATGATCCAATTAAATTAATTTTTTAGGGCATCTATTAAAAAAGAATTTTTTAAGAAGGAATCTCATTTCAATTAGAAGGAATCTCATTTCATTCTTTTGCATATGGATATCCAGTTGTTGGGCTTCTGTGGTGGCTCAGTGGTAAAGAGTCTGCCTGCCAATGCAGGAGACATGGATTCAATCCCTGGGTGGAGGAAAAGGCAGCCCACTCCAGTATTCTTGCCTAGGAAATCCCGTGGACAGAGGAGCCTGGTGGGCTACAGTCCATGGGGTCACAAAAAGAGTTGGACATAACTTAGGACCAAACAACAACACCTAGTTGTTACACCAGTTGAAAAGACTATTCCTTCTCTTAGCATCCTTGTTGAAAATCAACTGACCATAAATTTATCATTTATTTCTTGAGTCTCGATTCTGTTCCATTGATCTACAGGTTTATCCATATGCCAGTACTACACTGTTTTGATTGGTGGAGGTTTGTAGTAAGTGTTGAAATCGGGAAGTGTAAATCCTCCTTCTTTTTCGAGATAGCTTTGGTTGTTCTGGTTCCTTATATTTTCATGCATTGCATTAATACTGGGCTGGGGGGAAAGTTTTTTAGAAAAGAGAGAAAGGAAGACAGATATTGCTGAAGGATCTATGAAATCCACTTTGTGTTTTCTTAGTGATACTGCTGTTTACTTTTTCTCTTTATTGATTAGTTAATATTTCTTTTGGGCTTCTCTGGTGGCTCAGTGGTAAAGAATTCTGCAATGCAGGAAACAGGGGTTCAATCCTTGGGTCTAGAAGATCCCCTGGGGAAGGAAATGGCAAACTAGTATTCTTGCCTGGGAAATTCCATGGATTTCCACTGGGTTGCAAAAGAGTTGGACAGGACTTATTGACCAAACAGCAACAACAAATAATTCTCTTAATTAATTGATTTTTCTCTCCTAAATTTTGTCCTGATCATGGTAGGTCCCCTCTGCTCCCAACTGTTAATGTGCTAGGTATTGATGTAGCCAAGGCCTCATCTTCTGCTTTGGGTCACTTGGCTGAGTTAGACATACTTTCCACATAACGGCTCCCACAACACCCTAATTTTTGCTTTACTTCTAGCAACAAGTATTAACACAGTCTACAGTTGTGGTATCTACAGTTTTTATTGCAATCTCATCAACAAATCACTTGTAGTATGTATTTCTGCATATTCATTTTGAAAATACAAATATATATATTCATTTATAAATTATATATACTTATGATTATTATACATATTAAGAACATACCTTAGACAGAAATTTTAAAGGACAAGATAAAAAAATGACTAGAAATAAAAGTTTTCCCACTCCTCAGTATTATTTCTCTCTTTAAAGACTGCCATCTTGGATGTCTTCTATTTACCTCCATGTGTTCCTGCGGTTGTTAAGTCCTGTTCGATTCTTTACAACTCCATGGATTGTAGTCTACGAGGCTCCTCTATCAGTGGTATTTCCCAGGCAAGAATACTGGAGTGGGTTGCCATTTCCTCCTCGGGGGAATCTTCCTGACCCAGGGATCAAACCTGCGACTCCTGCATTGGCAGGCGGATTCTTTAACACTGAGGCAGCAGGGAAGTTCCCATGTGTTCCTAGCATTCAGCCAAAGGCTGAGTACATAGCAGCTCAATGTCTGCTGTTCAAAAGAAAAATTTTGATACCCTACTATTTCTATTAAACACTCAACCTCTATTCCTAGGTTTGCACACTGCCAGTAAAGGTTCTGCATCTATTATCTGCTATAGACATTTTGTAGAGAGGCTGTAATATCTTTTACCTTTGATTACATCTTACCTGACTTATTTCTTTAGAAAATATTAAATTGCAGTTGTGCCATCCTTAACTATACTCTGTGTTGCAAAGTGCATGGTCAGGCAGAATCCTGGCTGTTAGGAGGTAAAGATGGAAATCAGACTTTCAGATCAGAATGTATCTTTCACTGGAGGATAGGAACAAAGGTCAAAGGAGCGACTGGGGGTAAGAGTCAGGAGGGTTTCAGGAAGCCAGATTCTAAAGGACCAGTGGAAACTAGTCAATGGAGAAGAGAGGAAGGCCGGCATTCCCAGCTGAAACGCAGGTGCAAAGGCAGGAAGATGGGAGTGGACCCTGTACATTCTGAGCTAGGGAAGAGTTTGGTGTAGCTGAATTCTAGGGGCAGGGGGCGTGCATTTGTGTTTTAAAAAGATCCCTCCAGCAGCTCTGCGAAGTATTAAGGTCTTGAAGCTGGTAATAGGGGAGGCTGTGGGTTACCTGAAGAACAGGGCACAATTATAGATTGCTAGATGGTGGAAACTTCTCGGCTTGGAAGCCCAAAGGGAAGCAGGCTTTAGCGTTCTGGCTGCACTGTTGTTTCATGATCTCAAAGTGCCCCCTCCCCCTTCATTTTTCTGGGACCAGGATTTGTTGTTCCCCAGTGGCTCAGATGGTAAAGAATCTGCCTGCTATTCAAGAGACGTGGGTTCGATTCCTGGGTGGGGAAGATCCCCTGGAGAAGGAAATGGCAACCCACTCCAGTATTCTTGCCTGGGAAATCCCATGGACAGAGGAATCTGGCGGGCTACAGTCCATGGGGTGGCAAAGAGTCGGACACGACTGAGCGACTGAACTGGCTGACACTTATACCTTTATCAGAAAATTACTGTTTGTTTCCTAGGAGTCCCCGGCGGGGCTGGAGTAGTCGGTTTCTGGGCTCCTCTGGAGGCCTGTGACCAAGTAAAGACACGGAGGCGCATCCCTGCACAGGTTTTATCAAGCCAGGGCTTGATTGAAGCCTTCATCCCACCCCCGCCTCAATAAAATCAACCGCCCCTCCTACAGAAGCTCAGAGGTTCGCATAGAAAGCTGCCTCGGGGATGTCAGGAACGCCTAACCCACAGCCAAGGGCGTGTCTAGGCGGGGCCAGCGGCCCAGGTCACACCCCTTCCCGAGGAAGGAGGCGGCAGGGCAGTCCCCGGCCCTCGGCCTGGGCTCTGCGCCGGCCGCGGTGGGCGGGGTCTCTGGTCCGGCGGGTCGCTGACGGCGCCGGGCCCCGCCCCTCGGGGACGGAGGGCGGGCGGGACGCTAGACTAGCGCGCGAGCAGGGCCAGAGCCGGCCTGGGAGCCCGCGGAGCCGATCGCAGCCAGTGGAGCGCTTGGGCGGCGGCGGCGCGCGCGATGGCTCCCGCCGGGGACCGCGAGGGCTACTGGGGTCCAACGACCTCCACGCTGGACTGGTGCGAGGAGAACTACGCCGTGACCTGGTACATCGCAGAGTTCTGTGAGTGCGGGTGCCGGCCTGAGGCGGGAGCGAGGGAGGGAGGGCGCCGGTCTGAGGGGGAGACGCCGCGTGAGGAAGGCAGAGGGCGGACCTGGCGGCCGGGGGAGGCACCGGGCCTGGCCGGGGGAGGTGGCGTAGGGGAGACCGGGCCAGGGGACTGGAATGGGAATGTTGCGGAGGAAGGCAGCAGCTAAAGCAATCCAGACTGGCGAGTGGGGAGGGCCAGTCTGGACGGGTTGAGGGTGGCCTTGAGATTGGGGGGCGGAAGAGAAGTGGAGAGCCCCTGCTGGACCTAAGGGGAAAGCCTGAGGGGCAGGTTTGGGAATGGGGATTCCGCTGCCTGAGGGGCGAGTGGGGACAGCCCGAGAAGAGCTCGGGACAGTGGGGGACTCTGCTCGTTTGAATGAGGGCCGGGGACACCTGCTCCTACTGTTGCTGTCACCACCTTCGTCATAAGGGCACAGGAGAAGGGAACAGGTCCTAGCTCAGTCTTCCCCCAAATACGTGAAAATACGGCCTTTGCCTTCCTCTTTCTCTGTTCCTGTGAGACCTCTTCGGTCACTTTACAGGGAACGGTTTTCCCCGTGTCAGATCCCGACCCCTGTCTGTACCCCCAGCCCACTCCCACCCGGGATATCTTCGGTACCAGAAATCACCTCCTCTCGGAGTACGATCGTTCGGCTATCTCCTTGCATCCGGAGGTAGACGGCAGCCACTAGTCAGTACCTTCCGGCTCGTGCCAGGCTCCTAAGGGCACAAGGGTTCCAGTCCCGACTCCACCCTGCCTCCTCTCCGACTACCTGACAAATGTATAGGTTCTTCTGAGGACAGTACTTGCACTGATTGCACCTACTGAGGACTTGGGAAGAATCCTCTTCCAGTTGCTGCCCCTGACTGGTCCCTTGGGGCTCTGCGTGTGTATTTCCCCAGATGGACGTTCTTGCCGGGCGAGGAGAGCTCAGGAAAAATCTGCCACTTCTTTTTTGTAGTTTACTTTCGTCAAGTTTTAAGAGCACAATATTTGATCCTTCAGGTATCTGCTTCTGGCAAGGTACAAAGAATATTTTTTGGCTCACTATTACTGCCTTCTTTTAATTGGCTCAACTTTCTCAGGACAGGAAGCGAAACGTTTTTTAACTAACCTTCCCATTGTTGGGTCTTTTTCCCCCAGGCTTGTGTTTGGCTTTGTGGGAAAGAGAGGAGACTTTCAGGCCAGCTGATCCTCCTTTATTGTGTTCCCTGGTAATTGACTAGCATTAAAAACACACACACACACACACACACACACACAAGAAAACTGGTTGTTTTTAAGACTTTCAGTACCATTTTCTTTAAACTGTGATTTAGGCTGAGAGTTACTTTTCCTGAACTACTAGTTAAATTAATAATTTTTACATAGTAATGGATGGATATGGACAAAGGGATCATTTGTAGTGTAATTATTTGGCAGCTCAAATGTTGGAGAAGGAAGTGCTTTACATATTTGTTGTTAGATCACATTGACAAGTCCATACACGGTCCAGAGGAGGTCCATGAGAGAAGGGGCTTAAAATTGTGCTTTCTGAACTAGGAATGTGTAATGTGGAAAAGTGAAACTCAGGAATCTTCAAATGTTGATTGGGCTGTAGTATAGAATAGATAAACTTCCTGTATTTTTCTAGAATGTGAAATTAGAGCCTATGGGTGGAAATTACTTGAAAGGGGAGAGATTTTGGTTCAACATAAGGAAAATTTTAAAGTTATAATCATTGAATGGATTGAATCGAGAGGTAGAGGGCTTTCTGTCACTAAAAGTGTTAAAACAGACGTTGCTAGGCTAACTCACATAGAATAGTCTAGAGGGAATTAGTTGTTTGGTGGGCTTCGCTGGTGGCTCAGTGGTAAAGAATCTGCCTGCCAATGCAGGAGACTTGGGCTTGGTCTCTGGGTCAGGAAGATCTGGGGAGGAGAAAATGGCAGCACACTCCACTATTCTTGCCTGGAAAATTCCATGGACAGAGGAGCCTGGTGGGCCACAGAAGAGTCAGACATGATTTAGCAACTAAACAATTGTTTGGTAGAGAAAAGGGATTGGCTTCAGTTGGACTTTAGGTCCTTTGCAACTTTATGGGTCAATATAGGTAATAATGATTGTTAGTTTAGAGTCAAGGATTAGAATCAAAAGAGAAAACTGACAGTTAAGTCATGTGAGATATGAGAGCGCAAGATACTATTGTTCTGACAGATAGCGCTGAGAAATGGGAAATGGCTTAGGTTCTTAATGTCCTCAGAAGAGGAAACTCTGAGCAGACTAGGTATCAGGGAGTGCAAGAAGAGGATGAGTGAGTGTTGGCAGCCCTTTGCACATGTACCATGGAAGAAAATGATCTGAAATAATTTAAGGTCAGCCTTCTTACCCAGTAAGTAGTGTGTATCTATTCATATCTGAATATGAGACTTTATCTTTGAAAAATAGGCTGATTAATAATGTGTTTGGGCTCCCCAGGTTGGAGCAGTGGTAAAGAATCTGCGTGCCAATGCAGGAGACATGAATTGGTTTTTTTTTTTTTTCCTGTATTTTCTTTTTTTTTTCCATTTATTTTTATTAGTTGGAGGCTAATTACTTTACAGTATTGTAGTGGTTTTTGTCATACATTGACATGAATTAGCCATGGATTTACATGTATTCCCCATCCCGATCCCCCTCCCACCTCCCTCTCTACCCAGTCCCTCTGGGTCTTCCCAGTGCACCAGGCCTGAGCACTTGTCTCATGGATCCAATCTGGGCTGGTGATCTGTTTCACCCTAGATAATATACATGTTTCAATGCTGTTCTCTCGAAACATCCCACCCTTGCCTTCTCCCACAGAGTCCAAAAGTCTGTTCTGTACATCTGTGTCTCTTTTTCTGTTTTGCATATAGGGTTATCGTTACCATCTTTCTAAATCCCATATATATGTGTTAGTATACTGTAATGGTCTTTATCTTTCTGGCTTACTTCACTCTGTATAATGGGCTCCAGTTTCATCCATCTCATTAGAACTGATTCAAATGAATTCTTTTTAATGGCTGAGTAATAATCCATGGTGTATATGTACCACAGCTTCCTCATCCATTCGTCTGCTGATGGGCATCTAGATTGCTTCCATGTCCTGGCTATTATAAACAGTGCTGCGATGAAGAGACATGAGTTTTGATCCCTGGGATTAGGAAGATCCCATAGAGTAGGAAATAGCAACCTACTTCAGTATTTATGCCCAGAGAATCCCATGGACAGAGGAGCCTGGTGGGCTACAGTCCATGGGTTAAGAAAGTGTTGGACATGACTGAAGCAACTTAGCATGCACGCACAATAATGTGCTTAAAGCAAAGCAACTTTATCATGATTAAAATATTTACAATAATGATAGAAATATTAAGGATAATGATAATGGTGATAATAGCTATATATAAGTGCTTACTATGTATCACATTTTGCTAAGCACTTCATATATCTTATCTTTTTTGACATTTACTATAATTCCAAAAAGAAGGCATTATTATCCTTATATCACAGATTAAGAAATTGAAACCCTAATAAGTAATTTAAGGTTGCAAAACAGTCAGGTAGAGATAATATTCAAGTTGAGGTCTGACTCTAAAGCTACTATACCATATTATTTCTATCACATATTTATTGTTTTGCCCCAGCATGCAAGGGATGAGGACAAGCATGAAGTAATATAGTATCACAGATGACAAATTAAATAACTTCAGGAAGCCCATCTCTCAGCATTGGGTGTGTGTGTTTTGGGTAATTTAAAAACGGCTTTGGGGAATTGCACATAAAGATAGCAGCAGTTCTTAGTCACTAAAAAACCTTAAACACAATCTTCTTAACATCATCCAGTTTGAGTTCATGTTCCTTTTTGGTTTAAGCGGATTTTAACAAACAAGGGAAAAGGTAGTTTCTTTCTCTCTTTTTTTCAATAGTTTTTTTTTTTTTTAATTGATTAATTCGGCGGGGCTGGGTCTTAGTTGCTGCATGTGAACTCTTAGTTGAAGCAAGTGGGATCTAGTTCCCTGACCTGGGAGCAGGCCCAGGCCCCTTGCATTGGGAGTGCAGAATCTTAGCCACTGGACCACTAAGGAAGTCCCTTTGATGGTTTCTCTTCAGTTGTGAAATACTAAATACCTTGATGTGCCAGAACTTACAAGTACAGACAGTCCTCACTTTGCTTAGTAGGGTGGGACAATACAAATGACTATGCAAGTTAAAACCTAGCTAATCAGTCTTAATACTCAATAAGAGAAGTTATGAGTGTTGTGTGACTTTTACATATTTTTGTCAAACATTGTAAATCCTCATTGGTAGTCATAAATATATGAAAAAATAAAAAAAATATTAAAACATACTTTTTTTCAGTCACTAAGTTGTGTCCGACTCTTTGTGATCCCATGGCCCCATGGACTGCAGCACACAAGGCCTCCCTGTCCTTTACTATCTTCCCGGAGTTTGCTGAAACTCATGTCTATTAAGTTGATGATGCCATCCAACCATCTCCTCCTCTGTTTAGTACACTGTAATTTAAAACATTAAAATCATTGAGAGTTAAAATGTTTTATTTCTTTGTCGAAGAACTTATCTAGAATAGTTTGAGTAGAACTTGCCTTCTTGTAACTTATGATACAGAATAAGTACTTTTTTTTTCCTTCTGTGCCTTGGTGGATTGTCTTCATCCTTTCTAAGTTTGGATCACTTTCCAACATTTCATTCTTAGCACTTTCAATATTGTGGAATATTTCTGAGAGTTCCTTTAATGCACAGTTTTTGCTGGTGTCACTTCTGGTCTATCTATATTCTTTTTTCACAACCAGTTTCTTTTGTAACCCCATTTATGTTTGAGTTTTTTTTCTAACATGGTTACTTTAAAAAAAATTATATTGAAGTATAGTTGATTAACAGTGTTAATTTCAGCAAATGTGCAGCAAAGTGATTCAGTTATACATATGTACATTCTTTTTCATATTTTTTTCCATCA